CCCCCCCCCCTCCCCCGCCCAGCACAAATGTCATTTCTGCTCGTAAGTCTTTTGGTTGACGTTGTCCCTGTGGTAAATACACGTGCACCTTCTGCCCCCCGGTGACTCCATCAGCTCGGGCTGGTCCAATAGGAGACCATCAAGTAAGACAGAAACATATTGCCGTAGGCTGTCAAGTGGACCAGCACCCTTTTATCTTTCGCAGTCCCGATATGTTTTCTTGTCGCATGACGTGTATTATCGACCGAGAAGTGATGAGAATGTTAGTGTTTTCTGATGCTTTTTTTTAATGAGTAGATGAAAGACACCGTGGAAAACCTCTCAAAAACTCCCAAAAATGTTTTAAAAATCGAGCAGACAACGTTTAGCGATGACGTCATTGCCTCTCTTTCAAAACTTTTGCTTGACCACCGTTCTGCGTGGCGTTGTCTTCACGACGGTTTTGGCCCCGCCCCCTCCCAGCTCGCGGATGACCGTCTTGCTCCGGCGGCCGGTGAGACTTGTCCTCTCCTTCACCGTGTACGTCTGGCCCGTCTCGAGATCGGAGACCACCGACATGGTCGTCCGTCGCGACAACGGCACCGTCTCCACCACACGCTGCGATCCTATTGTGCCGTACGTCACGGGGGCGGGGCGTTGAACCACGACGGGCGTGTTGCTGATTGGCTGCTGCTGCTGCTGGGTATTTGCTGTCGTCTGGTAGATGTGCGTCTCGGTGGTTTGAGAGTAAGGGGGCGGGGCGTCACAGTATGCTGGTGGGGCTTGCTGCGGGGCTGGTTGCGGTGGTTGGCTGCGTCCTACTCCTGGATACACTGTGAGAAGAATGAAAGAAAATGTTGCTTCTCGTTGTTTTTTGTTGGTTTAAAAAAAGATAATGTTGCTTTGTTTGTTTTGTTTTGAGGTTTTTATTGTAACGTAGTTTTAACAGATGGGTAAGTGAGTGGATGGGTAAATAAGGGGGTTATAGAAAGAAGAATGAAAGTGAAAATGTGACACGTTGTAGCTTCCATTTTTAGCTGTGGTTGAACCTCAAATGTATTTGTCATGTGTAGATCAGACTTCTTGATTTTTTTCCAAAATCAAATACAAAAGGGTGGGGAGCGGTATGATGGGGATTCAAATGCAGTTTTCCAAGAACAGCAATTACATAGAGAACTTTAAGAAAGCAATGCGTTCAGAATCAGATGTATTATCATGTGGTCAACCCCAAAAAAGGGGTGAAAATGGTGGGCATATGAATATATATATATTAGGGGGCTCTCGTGGCCTTGAGGTTAAAGTGTTGGCCTCTCATTCAAAAGGTCCCGGGTTCGAATCCGGGTAGCATCCGAAACATTTTCTTGTCTAAATTTGTCACCTCATTTCCTGCTCTCTTGCAATGTTCTGTCGTCTGCTTTCGTCTCCTCTTTCTGTCCCCACCCTCTCATCTCCTTTGCCCCTTCCTCT